TAAATGTTCACCAGAAGAATAGAATAGAAATGTCCTTTATTGTCCCAAAATTTCTGTGCAACAGCAGCAAAGTGAGTCACACAAAGATGGATACAAAAAACAAGATGGAGGATAAAAAGTGTGCAGGAAGGGGAAAGTAGTTATAAAAATACTCCAGACCAGAGGAATGTCTCTTTGAGCACTATTTGCAAAAACATAAAACTCTGAATATAAATGTAGATGTTCGATAAAAGCTTCAGAGGTTTAGAAAAGATTAGTGAACAAACGGCAGCACGAAGACGTTTCACTCAGGAAACTTGCTCAGACACAAATATGGTCTTAAAAAAGCAAACACACACACAAGAAATGGTTAAAAATTCAGCTAAATCCTAATTAAGGAACCAACCAGTGGATCTTAACTCACAGTGTACCGCTGGTCATATTCAGAGCCGGCCCAAAGCATAAGCGCGAACTAAGCAGCTACATGTATTGCTAACATTTTAACCCGACCATAGATCTAAAAACATTTATTTACTGAGAGTGACACTGTTTTTAAATCTGATTTAATGGTTTCAGCATGAATAAATTACAAGCCTTAAACTGTTTTACATTTAATTTTAAGATTTAAGAAGTTTTCTTAGTAAAAGAATAAATCTTCATTTTTTTATTTGTTTGGTGTGTTACCATAGCTACACTGCAAAAACACAAAATCTTACCAGGCATTTCCAGTCTAGTTTCTACTGCAAATATCTTTGTACACTTTAAATAAGACAATACTTACAAGTAACTTTTCAGAAAGAAATATGAGCTGAAGTCAGTAATTCCTTAATACTGAGGAAAAAAACTACTTATTCCACTGGTAGATTATTTCACTTATTAGAAGACATTTTTCTCATGTTATAAGTGAAATAATCTGCCAAAGGAAGGAGTATTTTCACGAATATTTAATTCAGATTTCACTGAATCTGAATTAAAACGCTGTTAGTGGTGCTGATGAAGAGGAGGGCCCCAAATCAAATTCTGTTTTCAAGGCCCCATAAAGTGTTGGTCACATTTAAAAGTAAAATTAATTAAAAGCAAAATTATATGGACAATATGGACAATGATAACTGGGTTAGAATGGCCTAGTCAAAGACTTGAAAAACAATGTTAAACTGTCTGATTTCAGTCTAAATGAACTTGA